GAGTTTGGGGTTTGGAAATAAAACCTAAATCCACTGTTATTATTTGGAGTTTGGGGTTTGGAAATAAAACCTCAATCCACAGTTTGTATTTAGAGTTTTAGGGTTGGAAATAAAACCTAAATCCACTGTCATTATTTGGAGTTTGGGGTTTGGAAATAAAACCTCAATCCACAGTTTGTATTTAGAGTTTTAGGGTTTGAAATAAAACCTAAATCCACTGTTTGCATTTGGAGTTTGGAAATTGAAAATAAAATGTACAAACCCCTGTTTTCATTCAGAGTTTTGGGATTTGATCCACAAACCCCTGTTTTCATTCAGAGTTTGGGGTTTGGAAATAAAACCTAAACCCTTGTTTTCATTTGGAGTTTTGGGGTTTGGAAATAACACCTAAACCCACAGTTTGGAAATTGAAAATAAAATGTACAAACCCTTGTTTTCATTTAGAGCTTTGGGGTTTGATCCACGAACCCCTGTTTTCATTTAGAGTTTGGGGTTTGGAAACTAAACCTAACCCCACTGTTTGGGGTCTGACCCCACAGTTTCCACTCCGAGTTCCAAACCCAAGCCCTCCAACCCCCTTTTTTCCATTAAGAATTCGGAGTTTTGACCCATTTTCACTCCCGGTTTTGGGGTTTGAAGCTTTTGAGGTCCCAGAACAACCCCTTAAATCCTCCCCCCTCTTCCCATCCCGCCCCTCCAGGCGTTCAGCAACCACATTCCCACCCTCCTGACCCCACCACCGCCCTCCCTTTTCCCGGGAAACCGCCGAGCACCGTTCGCTTTCCTCACGCAGGATTTCCCCGGATTTATTCCCGGAGGGGGGGAGGGAGGAATAACTGCCAGGGGAGGGACTGTGGCTCTCAGGGAATTCTTTCCCACCTGTCCATAGATCCTGTTGGGTTTCTTGCCCCTGCAGCTGAGCAGGGCCCACCTCTTGTACTTGACGTTGCAGACGTGGACGTCGTTGCCGTTGCTCTCCCCGAAGGGGATCCCGGTGCCCCCGAACACCAGCAGGTTGTTCCCGTGCAGGACAACTGGGAGAGAGGGACATTTCTTGGGATGAACTGGGAAAAACAGCCGGTTCTGGGATGATGGAGGGGGAAGGTGTCCCTGCCATTGGTGCCTGGCCAAGCATTCCATGATCCCAAGGGCTGGAGAGCAGGGAGTGCTCAAACACTGCACTGAGAGCTCCAAAGGAGGGAGAATCCAGGCTAAATCCAGGGATAAACCCAAAGGGCTGCTTGGAAAAATGGGCAGTGAACAAAAACAGCTGGGTTTGGATGCTCCGGGATGGCTGTTGGAAGTGAAATCCCTGGAAAACCCCTCCTGCCTTCCCAGTTAGAAAATCCCCAATCCCAACCCAACCTCGGGGCCTGCTGGCAAAACATCATCCAGAATTCCCAGATCTTGCCTGGATTAAATCCCAGCTCCAGAAACAGGGACTGTGTTCCCACACACCCATGACATGGATGCTCTGAGATGTCTCCTTGGAACAACCATCCAGTGAAACCCCTGGAAAACCCCTCCTCCTTTCCCAGTTTTCCTCTCCCAATCCCAACCCAACCTCGGGGCCTGCTGGCAAAACATCCTCCAGAATTCCCAGATTTTGCCTGC